TTAAGGGTTACCAAATCTCGTTTTTGTCACAATGGCTATTTAGGCGGTTTTGCAACTGGTCGATGGGCAGTTTTGCAAAAACATCGACGATTATTGTATGTTATGCACTTATATTAGCTTTAAATTTTAACGTTTTCGCAGCTCCTTATGTTTGTCTTCATCTTAAGCAGGGATCACTCGATTTGTACATTTTGGCAGGTACAGAGCACGGTTGCCATTTCCAATTTATTTTTCGGACCAAAAAATGGACCAAATGGTAAAAAAAAAAATTGACCAATTTTTATTACATCGGGAAATTGAGTCGAGTTTATTCCTCTTTATCAAGAAAATATGCCAAATAAATTTTTAAAACGATTTTTTTTTATATTGCATCCAAAGTGCATTACAATTGTATATTAGTAACATTATGTTATTTAAAGTTTTAAATTATAATTTGCTTCTTAATTTCGTTTTTATTAACGCTAAATCAAAAAAAATGCGCTCAGCTGCTGCGGAACTGTGAGGCAGACTAAAAATGTTATGAACTAAATCACACAATTCTCCCAATTCCCCCAATCCATTTTTAACCAAACANTGTCGCCCCATTCCGCTGTGACAGTTCTGTCGTGCAGCATGTGTGAGATGAGCCTTACTAGGTAGCTCTCGACTCCGAGCTTATTAAGGGCTCTTATTATCGCCCCGGGAAGGACATTATTGAAAGCCCCCTCGATATCAAGGAAGGTACCCACTACAAAATCATTGTTTTTAAGAGACTCTTCTCTAGCTATTATTTTACAAATCCGTTGTTTTAGTAACGATTCTTGTGCATAAATCTCGATGCCTGGAGTTAAGGGTTACCAAATCTCGTTTTTGTCACAATGGCTATTTAGGCGGTTTTGCAACTGGTCGATGGGCAGTTTTGCAAAAACATCGACGATTATTGTATGTTATGCACTTATATTAGCTTTAAATTTTAACGTTTTCGCAGCTCCTTATGTTTGTCTTCATCTTAAGCAGGGATCACTCGATTTGTACATTTTGGCAGGTACAGAGCACGGTTGCCATTTCCAATTTATTTTTCGGACCAAAAAATGGACCAAATGGTAAAAAAAAAAATTGACCAATTTTTATTACATCGGGAAATTGAGTCGAGTTTATTCCTCTTTATCAAGAAAATATGCCAAATAAATTTTTAAAACGATTTTTTTTTAATTGCATCCAAAGTGCATTACAATTGTATATTAGTAACATTATGTTATTTAAAGTTTTAAATTATAATTTGCTTCTTAATTTCGTTTTTATTAACGCTAAATCAAAAAAAATGCGCTCAGCTGCTGCGGAACTGTGAGGCAGACTAAAAATGTTATGAACTAAATCACACAATTCTCCCAATTCCCCCAATCCATTTTTAACCAAACATACTTGAAACCCAAAACGTTCTATATTGGTACAGTTTTTGAAGTTGCCCTCACTCAGCCTCAATTTGCGAAATTGAAATTCAATTATGGCTGTATCATTTACCAATGCAGGAAATTGGTCGAGTAGAGGCAAAATTGATACATACATCAGTATCAGAAAGAACTTTATGTGGTGTAATAATTTAAAGATATTTAATATCTTTTCGATTGAAATCGAATATTATTTCCATTTGCTAAATGCTTTGATTTAAGTTATGGTACCTTTCAATATTTTTGGCAGCAACATAAATTTTGGTCACCGAGAAATTGAAATTAGCGAGAAACCGCGATATTTTTTGAAGCGTGCTTTGACAGATGATTAGCCATGCCATATTTATTTTCAGTGGCAAGGCGAGTTCACACTTTTAGCAGGTGTTGCCAATCGGCCCTATGCTGAATATTGTCATCGTCATTGTCGACGATCGTCAGCGCATCAGTAACATGGCTGACAATGGTCGTATCGTCACTTTTACTGACGACGACGATATTCAACATAGGGCGGAACATTCATCTATTAAATAGAAAAAATTAAAACGCGAAACTATTGCATGAGTGAAACACTGTTGAATTGTGCCGGGTACAACGNTTACAAATCCGTTGTTTTAGTAACGATTCTTGTGCATAAATCTCGATGCCTGGAGTTAAGGGTTACCAAATCTCGTTTTTGTCACAATGGCTATTTAGGCGGTTTTGCAACTGGTCGATGGGCAGTTTTGCAAAAACATCGACGATTATTGTATGTTATGCACTTATATTAGCTTTAAATTTTAACGTTTTCGCAGCTCCTTATGTTTGTCTTCATCTTAAGCAGGGATCACTCGATTTGTACATTTTGGCAGGTACAGAGCACGGTTGCCATTTCCAATTTATTTTTCGGACCAAAAAATGGACCAAATGGTAAAAAAAAAAATTGACCAATTTTTATTACATCGGGAAATTGAGTCGAGTTTATTCCTCTTTATCAAGAAAATATGCCAAATAAATTTTTAAAACGATTTTTTTTTATATTGCATCCAAAGTGCATTACAATTGTATATTAGTAACATTATGTTATTTAAAGTTTTAAATTATAATTTGCTTCTTAATTTCGTTTTTATTAACGCTAAATCAAAAAAAATGCGCTCAGCTGCTGCGGAACTGTGAGGCAGACTAAAAATGTTATGAACTAAATCACACAATTCTCCCAATTCCCCCAATCCATTTTTAACCAAACATACTTGAAACCCAAAACGTTCTATATTGGTACAGTTTTTGAAGTTGCCCTCACTCAGCCTCAATTTGCGAAATTGAAATTCAATTATGGCTGTATCATTTACCAATGCAGGAAATTGGTCGAGTAGAGGCAAAATTGATACATACATCAGTATCAGAAAGAACTTTATGTGGTGTAATAATTTAAAGATATTTAATATCTTTTCGATTGAAATCGAATATTATTTCCATTTGCTAAATGCTTTGATTTAAGTTATGGTACCTTTCAATATTTTTGGCAGCAACATAAATTTTGGTCACCGAGAAATTGAAATTAGCGAGAAACCGCGATATTTTTTGAAGCGTGCTTTGACAGATGATTAGCCATGCCATATTTATTTTCAGTGGCAAGGCGAGTTCACACTTTTAGCAGGTGTTGCCAATCGGCCCTATGCTGAATATTGTCATCGTCATTGTCGACGATCGTCAGCGCATCAGTAACATGGCTGACAATGGTCGTATCGTCACTTTTACTGACGACGACGATATTCAACATAGGGCGGAACATTCATCTATTAAATAGAAAAAATTAAAACGCGAAACTATTGCATGAGTGAAACACTGTTGAATTGTGCCGGGTACAACGTGCACCGTCGAGATCGTGAGCGGGATAATGGTGGAGGCTTAGCGTTCATTACGCACCACACCGTGCAGTATTGTCTTATCGAAGCAGACATCGACCGCATGGATACCACCCTAGGATGTCAGGGCATTGCTATCCGGTCAGGCGATGTTGAGCTCGAAATATTTAACGTTTATATACCCCCTGTCACCTGCTGCCCGGTAGGATATCACCCTGACATAGGTGCGCTCCTCAGAGGTGAAAACCGTATGGTAGTAGGCGACTTTAATGAGCACCACGATCTTTGGCACTCAAGCCTGTCAAACGATCGTAGGGGAACTGACTTGGCTGAGCAGATAGACGATTCGACATTCTGCACAATGAACGACGACGCACCCACCAGGATTATGGGCAGCTGCTGCAGCTCGCCAGACATAACAATAGTCAGCGCTGGTCTGATAAACAGCATATCATGGCGTCCTATACTGACTTTGGCATCAGACCACCTGCCCATAGTCATCTCGATCGATAAACCAACCGACTTTGCTTCCGCGGAGCACCGAACCTACATCAACTTTTCAAAAGCTGATTGGAAAGGCTTCGCGGAATTTACTGAAAACACCTTCGCTGCCCTCCCCACACCAACCGACGTCCACCTTGGTGAACGTAAGTTCCGCAGAGCTGTAACCGCTGCTGCAGCCCGCTTCGTACCGGCAGGATGCATCACTGACCCACGCCCAAATTTCCCTGCTGAAGCGGCTGTTCTAGCCGATGAGCGTGACAGCCTTCGTCCCCTCGCTAGGGCAGGCTCCTTGTCGTTGGTGCGGGGGCTTAGCTGCATCACCAACCAGCCCTCTTCTGGTTTGAGGTAACGCGGATGTGCAGACCTCCGCGCTACCTTCTCTCTAGACTTGGGCTGCTGGAGAACAATGACCAAGAACTGCCGCCTCCTAATCCAGGGTGTTAAGCGACACCGTGCCTATTGGACGGTTTGCAGCCAGGAGGGTATAAACCGGCTGTATTTGAACGGCGCCTTTCCGACACCGGGCCGCATCGGGGAGTAACGGTGGCCTTACCGCGACAAGGGGCGCTGGCGCGGCGAACTTTTGGAGATCCCCTACAAAAATTTAGACTACTGAGCTCGCTTCGTCGAGCAGGTGGTCGTACGAACAAGATGATGACAAAACAACAAAAAAACAACCAAAAGAACACAAAATTCGACAGCCACAACAACAGCTAGTACAGCAACAACACCTGCGGCTTCAAATGCGGTAGGTGCAACTGCAACAGGCACAACTAAGGTACTGGAGACGCCAAGAAACAGCAGCGCGTGGGAAGGCCCAAGAAGTGCTGGTCGGAAAGGCAGTTTCCTAGACCAGCTAACCGCCGAGGAGGCAGCGCTGTTCATCGAACATGCAAGGGACGATGACCAACCAGGAACCAGTGCAGATGCGCTACGTCGCATGGGCCAGAGCAAAACAGGTAGTTCTAATAACAGAAATTTAACAGGAAATCACAATTTACCTGCCGAACCACATCGGCCGCAACACCGGTCCGGCAGTTCTCATTGCAGGTACAGAGAGACAGCAAGGTCAGACAGCAGCCACCGCACCGATGGTAGTCACCGCTCCAAGAACCGGCATCGCTAGGGTAGTCGGCGTCGCTCTGCGAGTCGACACCGCTCAGAGAGCCGGCAGCGCTCCAAGAGCCGGCGCCGCTCCGAAAGCGGTCACCGGGCGGAGAAGGAGAGACTCCATAAGTCGCACAGCAGAAGCGCCTCAGCAGCGTCCGACGACTCCGGGTGGCAGAAGCAAAGGAGTAGGAAGCACCGCAGGGCCAAGCCTCCTCCGATGCCGCAGCCAGGTCAACCGGGGTCCCTAGACGATCGGCTTCGCGAGGGCTTAAGCGGTTCCGGGGTTAAATGGTACCTCCGGTACCTCGGGCGAGGCAAACCCTTGAAGCCAGAGCCATGGCAGAGGTCAGAATGGAGATTGAGAATGAGGGACGTGAAAGACACAGGAAAGGCGACAAACCCGCACCCGCCGATAGGTGGAAGAGCGGGCCCAACAAACAGGCACACTTACCCGCACCTGCTGAAAAGCAGAAGAGCGGGCCACAGCGACAACAGCAGCACAGACCCGCGCCCGCTGAAAAGCGGAGAAGCGAGGAACCAACAGGCTCCAACAAAAGAGGTAGCAACCAGGTCACTCCGCCAGAGACACCGGGCACCAAACGGTAGCGGGAGCAGCCATCCCCTCCGAACTCATGGTCTAGGAGCCTGGGCGGGCCGATCAAGCAGGGACAGGCGCAGGGGGGTTCCACTCAGCAACCCAGCTATTCGGAAGCCCTCAAAGGCATTCGGGTAGCGGTGCTGCCTTGTGAGTACCCTGCTGCTGCCCTGAGCTCGGAAGACCTAACCAGACTCCAGGATGCCATTATGGAAGAGGTTTTTAAAGGATGGTCGCACCCGCTGGTGTTCTGTGGTGTGTACTTCAGATCCGGCATGCTACTGGTAGACTGCAGGGACGAGAGGACAGCAACCTGGCTGGTGAAGAAAGCACCAGCACTTGAGGGCTGGAAGGGACCCGAGATGTGCACGAAGAGGGGGGATGACATCCCTCCAGTGCATAACATCACGGTGTTCCTGCCAAGGAGCACCGACAAGTCGGCGGAGTTTGCGTTGGGGCTACTAAAAGCGCAGAATGAGGGCATCCACATCTCTGCGTGGAAGGTAGTGTCCAGCTCCGTAGAGGAGAACGGGCTCAGACTATTTCTGGGCATAGATGAGCAATCTTACGTCAGCATCAAGAGGGCTTGCTTCAACCTAAATTATAGGTTCAGTTTCGTCACGGTGAGGCCGTGGCGACAAATGGCGACAGGTAGGAAGGAGTCGGAGTCGCAGGAGACCCCAATCGAGGCAGCTGCCGACTCCTCCGCTGCCCAGGCGACCCAGGCGACCCAGTCAACCTCGACCTCACCGGCGGAACAGCCACCCCTCGCACAGCCACCCCTCAGTCAGCTACCCCNTCAACCTCGACCTCACCGGCGGAACAGCCACCCCTCGCACAGCCACCCCTCGCACAGCCACCCCTCAGTCAGCTACCCCTCACCCAGACACCAACTCCAGCAAGCACGTCCGAGCCAGCCACCACCACCAAGCCAGCGGAAGACGTGCCATCCAAGCAGGAGTTGCTATCAGGCATCGACTTCAGGCGACTTGAGCTCGATAGGAGAAGCGAGAGCGAACTGCAACTCTCCGATCTCGAAGAGCCCCAACTATGACCACGCGTCACTTGGCAGTAGCCCAGGTCAACCTGCATCATGCGGTAGCTGCTTCGGCGGTCATCTCCAGCAGGTTCGCCACGGATGACCTGGGCATTCTACTGATCCAAGAGCCGTGGTCCTACAGAGGCCAGGTTAGGGGCCTCAACCACAACAACAACAAGGTAATTTGGGACCTCTCCTGCGAGAGGCCCAGAGCATGTGTGGTGCTTAAGAAGAACATTGATTACTTTTGCATTACAGAGTTTCTAACACAGGACTTGGTCGCGGTGCAGACGTCGCTCTCGCTAAGTGGCAGAAGCCTAGAGGTGGTGTTTGCCGCGGCTTATTTCCCGGGGGACAGCAACTACGCCCCTCCGCAAGAGGTACAGCAGCTAGTAGAATTCTGCAGGAAGAGACGGCTCCACCTCATCATAGGGTGCGATGCGAATGCCCACAATGTCGAGTGGGGCAGCACGGATACGAACCGCAGAGGTGAGTGTCTCCTAGAGTACATCTTAAGTGAGGAACTAAGCATCCACAATGTTGGCCAAACACCGACATTTGTAACGAGGGCTAGAGAGGAGGTACTAGACATCACGCTTAGCAACAGACTGGCTAGCCCTCTGGTCACCCAGTGGGGGGTCTCATCGGAGCCCTCACTGTCAGACCATAGGATTATCCAGTTTGCACTGGGAGTAGAGGTCATAACTAGGCAGGCAAACAGGAACCCCAGGAAAACTGACTGGACAAAGTACAGCGAGACTTTAGAGTCAAACCTAACTGGAATTAAGTCCAGGAACAGGTACACTAACTGCATGAGCCTAGAGAGCACCGTCAATGAGTTAAATGGCGCTATTGTAGATGCCTTTCACTCAAGCTGCCCGGAGACAAAACCAGGAGGGAAGGCGCAGCCCAACTGGTGGTCTCGGAAGTTATCGGTGCTCAGAAAGGAGGTACGCAAGCTATTTAATAGAGCAAAGCGCACAGGGCGCTGGGATGAGTATTCAGCAAGTCTAACTAACTACAGTAAAGAAATCAGGAGGGCTAAACGCGACAGTTTCAGGAAGTTCTGTGAGGGCATCTCATCGACTCCTTCAGCTGCCAGGCTACACAAGGCCTTGGCAAGGGACCATACAGATACCAGACTAGCAATCCAGCTAGCCAATGGCACGTACTCAGGCAACGAAGAGGAAAGGGCACTTGCCCTGCTTTCGGCCCATTTCCCGGATGCCACTCCCACTTCGGGAGAGGCACCGTGCCGACGGACCAGGCCGTCCCCGGTGGACTGGAAGCTGGCTAGGAGTCTATTTACCCACCGATCAGTCTGCTGGGCGATGGACTCCTTCGACCGGTATAAATCCCCGGGGGTGGATGGCATCAGTCCAGTGCTGCTGAAGCAGGGCAAGGAGCTCCTACTTCCACACCTCGTGAACATCATGAGGGCTAGCCTAGCGCTCGCTCACATCCCCGAGGCGTGGCAAAGGGCTCGGGTCATTTTTATCCCGAAGATAGGAAAGAGAGATTATTCTCTAGCTAAGTCCTTCAGGCCGATAAGCCTTACCTCCTTCCTGCTTAAGGCGATGGAGAAGGTGATCGACCATGAAATCAGGAACAGCACCCTTAAACAGGTGCCTTTACACCCCGACCAACATGCCTACAGAGTGGGCAGGTCTACGGACACCGCAAGGTACACCCTGTCTACGGAAGTACAAGATGCATTTGAGTGTGGGGAAACAGTACTCTGTGCCTTCATCGACATTGAGGGGGCGTTTGATAACACCTCTCATATCAGTGTCGACCGGGCACTCGAAAAACGCAATGTGCAGGCAACGATCCGCAGGTGGATAGCCAGGCTACTAAATTCAAGAATCGCTGAAACCGATATCGGGGACAGCGTGGTACAGTTAAAAACTACAAAAGGTTGCCCGCAGGGAGGAGTCTTATCCCCTCTCCTGTGGAGCCTAGTTGTGGACGAACTTCTACGGATTCTCACGGACAATGGCATCCGCTGTCAAGGCTATGCGGATGACATCGTGATTATCGCCAGAGGAAAGTTCGTGAGCACTCTATGTGACATAGTGCAAAGGGGACTAAACCTGGCAAGAGGCTGGTGCGCGGACATGGGCCTCAGCATCAACCCCTCTAAAACGGTTATTGTCCCTTTCACTAGAAGAAGAACGCTTCCAGGCATGAGGAACATTTCTTTGAATGGGGTCGCCATCAACGTCGCCACCGAAGTCAAATATCTAGGACTAACCCTGGATTCTAAACTTCTGTGGAAGGCACATGTTGACGCGGTCACTTCCAAAGCTACGAGGGCACTAATGGTATGCAAACGCCTGGCAGGAAAGACCTGGGGCTGCAGTCCCAGGATTCTGAGATGGATGTATACCATGATAGTTAGACCAATAGTCACCTATGGAGCAGTGGCTTGGGCCTCGAGAACCACCCTCACCACGGTGAGGCAATCCCTCACCAAGCTTCAACGTCTGGCATGTGTATGCATTACGGGGGCAATGCGCACATGTCCGACGGCAGCGCTGGAGGCGATTCTCGAGCTCGAGCCGCTGCACCTTACCATAGAACAGGCTGCAAAGCGAACTCTACTAAATTTCGCGAGGGAAGGCTTTGGCAGGGGCAGAACCATATCATTAAGGAACAGAGACAAGCTCGGCTCCCAAGTTCCGCTTGCTTTACTCCCCAGAGACGACAGGCCTAAGGTGGTTAACTTTGACAGGAATTTCAAAATAGAGCTTTGCACCAAGGCGACCTGGAGCTCCTCTCTCATGGAGAGGCTGATCCAATCGAGCTCGTTGCAATGGTACACAGACGGCTCGAAGACTCCGGAAGGCATTGGGGCTGGCGTCTACGGGCCGAGGCTACAGCTCTCGGTACCTATGGGGGCATACCCGAGTATCTTCCAGGCGGAGGTCTATGCCATCAGTCTGTGTGCAGAGATTAACCTACGTAGGAACTATCGTAATGAGAGAATTTTAATATTGAGTGACAGCCAGGCGGCACTCAAGGCCAATTCATCCTGAGTGCATAGATAGGCTCAACAGCCTGGCGGAGTACAACGAAATCCAATTATCTTGGGTACCAGGACACATAGGAGTTGCGGGCAACGAAGAAGCGGACCGACTAGCTAGAATGGCGGCCGCCTCGGCGCCTATAGGGCCTGAGCCCTTCCTAGCGATTGGACCTAGTACAATCAAGGAGGAGCTCAGGAAAGAAAGGAACATACAAAGAATCAACACTGGCGTAACACTACAGGTTTACGTCAAGCAAAACAACTACTGGGAGGCTACAACCTCACGAGGTACAGGGCAATTATCAATATATCGAAAGGAAAACTAAGGATTATAACAGGTTTTCTGACGGGTCACTGCAGACTGAGAGGCCACCTACACAAGCTAGGGATTTGGTCAAATGACCTATGTCGTTTCTGCGACGTGACCGAGGAGACTCCCGTGCACCTGCTTGGCGAATGCGTGGCGGTCGCGAGAAGACGGGAGAGGCACCTGGGCCACTACTGGCCAAGTAACGAAGCAATACCATAGCTAATCCCTGGGGATGTCCTCAAATTTTTGGGCTCTCTAGGATTAGATGAGGTACTGTAAATGGTTGAGGGCACAATAGACCTGCTGGTCGCAGTGCATGCCTCTATTAATTATCTATTTATCGACAGCCTTCGTCAGGCCGATCCCGGAGATCCCCGTATCAGGGATCTCAACGCGGAGATTCGGCAACTAGTAAACGTACATAAGCGGAAGAAGTGGGAAGAGCATCTAAAGACCTGCAACTTCACCTCTGGTGTGAGTAAGGTTTGGTCAACCGTGACGTCACTGTCCAATCCTACGAAGCACGACGACAGAGTCGAAATTTCTTTCGGCGACCAAGCTTCGTCGGACCCGGAGCGATGCGCGAGCTATTTTAGCCGGCAGTTCATACTGCATCCTCTGGTGGACAAAGCCAAGCGTCGAGTGACCAGAAGGCTGCACAAACTGCCAACAACTTGTGCCCCCCTTGCTTACATTTGCGGTGAAGTTCAGGTGATCATCGGGAAGGCGAAAGCCTCCAAAGGCATTGGTTCCCGACGGAATATACATGCTGATGCTGAAAAATTTGGGTCCTGCGGGGTAGCGTACCTAACGGAGGTCCTCAATTCGTCCATGGCCACTCTCAGCATCCCAGACATCTGGAAGGTGTGGAGAGTGGTCCCACTGCTCAAACCGGGGAAACCCGCCAACATAGGAGATTCTTATCGTCCGATAACACTCCTTTCCCCGGTAGCGAAGACACTCGAGGCCTTGCTACTCCCGTATTTCACAAACCACTTGACCCCAGCAAAGCATAAGCATGATTTCGTAAAGTGCACGGTACAACAACAGCACTTAACGCCATAAACTCAGATTACTCGTGGCCTTAACCGTAAACGTCCCTGTGAGAGAACGATTCTAGTAGCGTTGGACCTGTCAAAGGCTTTTGCAACTGTCAGCCATTACACGCTACTAGAAGATATAGATGCTTCGGTAATGTTTAGAGACAAACCGAGCAAATTTAGGAAAATAAAACCGGGGGTTCCACAGGGTGGTGTCCTTTCCCCACTACTGTTTAACTTTTAAATTTCAAAGCTCCCTCAACCACCAGAGGGAGTCTCGATTGTCTCTTACGCCGACGATTGCTCGACCGTGGCGACTTGGAATGGAATTGATTACCTGTGTTCGAAAGTAAACGGATATCTCTCTGAACTTTCTAGCTTCTTCACTGCAAAGTGTCTAGCCCTTTCCCCTACGAAATTTTCTGCGACCCTTTTCACAACCTGGATGAAGAACGTCAGGCTACCGCTAGGAATTCACGTCGATGACACACCAATTCCGACAGTGAATAATTCTAAAATTCTCGGAGTAACATTCGACAGTGTGCTCTCCTTCTCTGCGCACGCAACCGCTATTGTCAATAAAGTACAGAGCCGCAACAAAGTCCTCAAGTCGCTAGCCGGCAGTACTTGGGGCAAA